TATTTAATAACTACTATTTTGCTGGGTTTCCTAGAGTTTTAAATTATTTTGTATTTAAAAAATATTTGCTCTGTAATAGTTTAGATGATTAGCAGGGAGAATTGTCAGTCTGATGATTTAATAAAATATTAATAATATAAGATTTATATTATATATAGAATATATTATTAAAAATATATTTTATAAACTTTATTGAAGAATTTTCTTATTTTTACTAAGTAGTTTTTGAATAATAAATTTTTAAAATTTATATTAAAAAATTTTTTATAATTAATTTTTTTTAAAAATTTTTAAAATTTTATATATTTCTAAAGCTAAAAAAATTTTTAGTTCTAAATAAGTTTAAATTTTTATAATTAAGTTATAAAAATTATAATAATAAAAATTGTTTTTCTTGTTAAATTCTATATAATTCTAATTTAAAAAAACAAATAACTAATAATTAATAAGTTTATCAATTTTTTTAAAATCATATAACTTTAGTATATAACTAATTTATATATATTTTTTTAGCAGTATAGTATAAAACTAATCAGATAATCTAATACCTGTGTAGCAAACTACTTAAAATAGATAATGATTAAAGTTGTACTTGTAACTTGTTGTACACTCTTCATATAATCACAAATTATCTACATGTAACCTATATATCAAACTAATAAAATCTTTTTAGCAATGTAAATTATCTTAAAAATAAAAAAAATCTTATTTGGATTTTTTTTTTTTTTTTTTTTTTTTTTTTATTAGTCCAACAAGGCCTTGATACCGGTTAATTTTTATTAAGTGGTTTGTAGATTTACATTGGTTAGTGAGAGTACAATTAGTCACACATACAACTTTAATCATTGTCTATTTAAAGGTTCTGCCTGGAGGTTACCTACTAATTGCTATACCTAGTATCCATTTGTAGATACTCTATTTAAACCCTCTGGCATCCCTGTCATCTCTAATATTTTCTCAATTTTATTCTTAAACCTGCACAATCTCCTGCTGCCTCAATGCAGACCACTCAGACTGACCTTATACTTCAGTTTCCCTTATTAGGAGGGCCCTATCTCAAGGTACCTTTTATCCTTGTCAAAAGGGGCCTGCAGAATAATCTAACTATACTGTGCTATATCCTAATTAAGCTAGCATATACCCTTATAGATGTTTATACAAACCTAGTTCCTACTGTGACTCTCTACCAAATTAGTCCTCTATATATTCAGAAGTTTCACAAGTCAGATCTTCTCAAATCTAGTTAACCACCAAGCCAGGTTGGTGTTGTCGCTAATGCAAAACACTAGGCTGCATTATATAGCAGACTTACTCACATCTGCTCGATCTGCAACCTTTGTATACAGACTTCTTTTCTGGATCAAACGTTAACTAGTGTGACCATCGAAATTTATACTACTTCACCTAATTTGGGATTTCTACTATGCAGGTCCTCTGCTCATAGATTCTATCAAGATTTATTCATGCAATGTAACTCGAACATTGCATCACACTTCCAATATCCAATTGATATTAGTGCAATGTGATTTATAGAGTTACAACCCCCAGAATCGAACAGGATTTACCGTAAGTTAGATACAAAGGTCTAGGTAATTATTCAAATTCATCAACAGTGGGATTTGAACCCCAAACCTCTAATATGGTAGTTCGACAATCTAACCACTACACTATGATCGCCAGACCCTTTATTTGGATTTTTAATTAAAGTTATATAGAAGATCATTATAGTTCTAATAATAGTAAAAGCACTAAAATTCTGTTAGATCACGAGATATTAACTTTACGATCTTTTACAAATTGCAAAAAAATTTATATGATTGTAAAATTAAATTATTAATATCTCATAATATACTAGATAAATTTTAGTGATTTTACTATCATTAGAACTATAATAATATCTCTACAACTTTTATTAAAAATTCAAATAAATTAACTTAGTAAAAAATCAATTTTTATATACTATTTTATTATTAAATTTTCACTAATCCAAATTAAAAATACTGAATAAGTTAGCATTTAACATATTCTATTAGAAAAATTTACTAATAGAACAATAGATTAGAATTTAGATCTATTAGGCCAATAGAAAAATTTTGACAACACTGAATCAATTGTTTAAATACTCTCTGTAGATTAGTTGTGCTACTAGAATTAAAGAAATAAACTACTCTAAAAAAAAGTTTGTATATAGTATCTGAAAAATTGCAAACGAGATGGTATCACAAGTAACTTAATATACTCATATTTATGTCAACACTGACCATTAAGGCTGTTTATTGGGAACTCATATCCTGCCTGTCTCCACGTTGTTAGACTTGGATTCGTGTATGCGTTAAAATGCCTATATATACGTGTGCAGAAAAAATAGTTATTACACATGATCTTTATTAATAAATATATAAATGCTTATGTTATTTACTTTTTAATATAATCAGAAGTAGGGTGATCTGGAGGATCACATGATACCTTGACCTTCAGCGGATCCTGATAAACTCGTACATAGTCTACATACATGGTTGAAGGGAATTTTAAATTGTTGAGATCAATATGATTGAATCCTTCCGACATGCCTAAATTAATAACAATGGACTAATAAAGAAAATAGTTTAAATAATTTGTAAATGGTTTAAAATAAAACTATTTCATAACAAATATATACCATCGACTCTTCGCTTATTATTCTTTGACCTATGTCATTCTCTTTATTTGGACCAACAGCACTAGCATTCATCCTCCATGTCAATTGGTCATTAATAAACCAACTTATGTATCCATCAGATCCAGGTTCATATTCAAAAGCATATTTTTCGTAAGAACGGTTATCATAAATTTCATTACTGACTACAGTCAATGAACTGACAGTCTGCTGCCACACACTACCAACATAGGTATTGAAAGTTGTCACATTTGGATTGTCTATATAAATGAAGTCTTTGTTGATCTTGTGATTTGTGTCAAAAGGAGCGAACTGGGCAGATTGTGAAATATAGCTTTGACCATTATCATCAATAGTTGCCTCAAATAAATCAATTTCTGGAGCGCCACGGCCCATGCCAGGTGATGGATGATCTTGGTCTGGACATGTACATTTATTAAGACGTTGACCAGGAATATAAGAAAATGTACCAGATGTATCGGATTGATTAGGTGTTATACCCACATCACAACTATCATAGCTATATGGCCAAATACCATCTGTCGTGGCACCATAACCAGGGCGACCCAAATTACCAAGAGTCCATACACCTGGCCAAAATCCTTGAGTTTTGCCATCACCTGGGAGTGAAACCGAAACTGAAAGCTTTTTTTAATCAAAATCCTAAGTTAAAGAAAAGCAAAAAGGCAAAATAGTATTAAATACCTTCTAATATCCCTCCTTGAAAGCAAAACTTATTCCAACTTTGTAACATTCCAGACTTATAATTTAACCCATGAGTGATTTCATTTGTAATGGTTATCTGAAGTTTTCCATCTTTGGTAGTAATCATATCTGGTGAATACCATTGCAAATCATTTGTGAGCCAATAATGAAGGTCTACCGCTTCCCTATTTGGTAATATATATATATAGGCAATTATTTGGATAAGCAGAATAAATCCCTTTTAATTAAAAACATAAGGATGATACAACTGCATTTCTTTTTTCTCAAATTTCAATTGCTTTTGTAAATGATTCTTACATACCAATATAGGTCATCTCCTGGTCGAAATGTTCTGCCATCCTTGTTAAACTCATCTGAAAATACAAGCTTGTAGATGGTCCCATCGCTTGCTACTCTAGTATGTGCTGACTTTGGTGTATCAATATCAACAAAATCCGGCAGAATTTCGGAAATTCGAGTTGAATTTTGGCCAGTCTTTTCTATCAAATCGCTATTTTTTATAGCGGTATACACCGGATAAGCCACCATCAAGCCTAACATACCTCCAAATATAAGCATTAATGCGCCTACGTTTAAGCAACCCCGTTTCGAGAACAACGTACACTTTCGATCATTGATATTTTTTTCCATATTATGTAATTCATCATCTACGTTATCATATTCATCCCATAGTAACGGTCCAGATGCTGGCCGATCGGATTCAGAACGAACCGATACTCTATTTTGAAAGTGAGCGGATATAGTTGTGGTTGGAGTTACTGCTGGACTTCCAGGGAAAAACGAAGATCTTATTGAATTAGAAGAACCAGAATCATGGTGGCATTGGATTCTTTCAGGATAATTGACATCCCTCAGATAATTGGTTGCATTAGGTTTTAAAGAAGGGGAAATGGGCGCTATTGGAAATCTGTGAGAACTTAAAGAAGATTGTGATGACAATATTTCATTTTGATATTGATTTGTTTGACTCTGTGATCTAGTCATGACTTAGATGTTATTATTCAAATAGCTATTGCAGTAACTAACTACCAATTATTATTCGAAGACCAAATGTATTACAAACTGTCGAAAATAATTACGTAAAAATCTTTTATTATCTATTTCTTCGAACGTTAAGATGAAAAAGGGAGAAAAATGAAATTATTTAAAATCAATTTTGACAATATATCGGTTTCAATAAGCATCTATTTATCATACACAATAGTCTACACCATTGATCAATTCTTTAAACGCCTCGGTGATAACTTATCAGAGTATGATTCTGTCAACAAACGGGAGGTCATTTTTCAGCAAAACATTTAGTATATTGTTTGTCTACTAATATCTTTGGATAATTAATTAAAAACTAACAAGAGATCTAGTTTATAACTCAAAGTCATTTATTCTTAAATAAAAACGACATGAATCACAATTTATACAGTAATCTTGTTATATATAGAGCATCTTTAGCAAAATTGAGTCCTCTTATATTGCTATTTTAAGAAAATGTGTTTAAATGTTTAAATTGTCATAGCCTTGTGCAATTAAATTTGTTCAAAAATCAAGATAGACTTTCCTACCCACACCAAAGTCCATACCTTTTATCCAATAATAATTAAAGGATAGTCCGCAGTTAAAGGGTATAAATTTCATAGTAAAAATCGGCGGGCATTTACTAATACTTTTTATATAGAGATGAAATCTGAAAAGTTTTTGCAATAGTAAAAATCGTATAGTAAAAAAATAAAATTAAAAATAGTAATATCTCTAGATCTACTAAACCGTTTTTAATGATTTTAGCATCATTAGAACGAGAATTATCGTCTCTAACTCTTTACTTAGAAGCTCTAAAAATATTTACTTAGTAAAAAAAAAATAGTTTCATATGTAAGCGAGCTGGATTTCTGTATTAGGCCAGACCAATTTGATTCTCTGTTTAACATAACATTCAAGTCAAAATCTAGAGGGGGGGACTGCATATGATTGGCTAGAATATTAAATAAAATACACAAAAATATAATTCTGGCCAAAATTATAAAATTTTTTTAGTTCTGGCCTAAATTATTTGAGTATTTTTTACCTAAAAATTGAAAAAATAGGGGGGTTACGTTAAGCAGAGAATCAAATTGGTCTGGCCTAAGTAAGAGAGAAACTGGCAATTGCTATGGATATTTTGCAATCGTTATGGATAATATACAATTGTTGTGAACTCGAATAAGATTACTGTATATTGGCAGAGGTCATTTATAGATGTTGGGATTTATTGGTTATAATGCAAGGATAATAATGGCGAGTGTAGAACGCGGTAGGTTATAAGGGAGAAAAATACCAAGAACAGAACGATATTAAAAATAAATAATCGTATATATCAAATTTGCATATCTAATATGAGCTTACATACAGAGATTAACGTAGTACAGTAATAAAGTTTAGATCTGTATTTACTTCTTCGTCATCAGCGTTTTGATCTTAATAAAATTCCAGATTATCCGTTTTTGAATTCCAAACCGGCTTAAGATCATGATCGTATACTGTATATCGGATTCAAATAAAGAGAACATAATTTTTAATTTTTTATTAGCGAGTGATTGTGTTAATTGAAAATTTGAATTAATATTTCTTTTTAACCTAACAATGCCCTTTTTTATTAATGAGACTAACTTCACTTCACTGACAAGTCATTTGCTGACATTATGCAGCGTGATGTCTGTTAAATTAGATATGCATCCTAAACTTCGAAGTGAAATTTCTTTTAAACTATTAAATTTAAAAAATGTCGCAGCTTAAGCTGGAAACGGTTGAAGCTAGAAATTAGAGGTCTCAATTTCAAAATATAAACCCTGCCAAGATCCAACTAAACTCTTTTATTATCAACTCAACTTTAAGTCCTAACCCAACTATAGAAAAAAAAAAATCAATCCAAAATTTTTTGTTAAATATTTAAAATTCCCTGCTTCAGCCGCGATAAAAAATAAATTAATTGAATAGACTTCTTTAACGTAATAACATCCTTTTGTATTTTTTATACGTACGTATAATACCAATATAAACAAGTCAGGTATTAAAGTCAAATAATTAGGTAATCAAAGCAAGGACAGAAAATCCCCGCTTAAAAATTTAAAATTTCTAAATATTCATGTACAATAATACTCCCTTTTAGAAAGGGTTTCAAAAAAAAAAAAAA